CACATTGTGTCTCTGAACCATTCTTAACTCCAGTTCCAGGGGAATCTGAAGCCCTCTTCTGATCTCTGCAGCATTGTACAACACAGGTGCACATACATGCAGGCAATACACTCATACACATAAAATAAAAATCATAAATAAAATATTTTTAAAAATCTCAAACAAGGGCGGGGGCTCCGTGGGCAGAGTGCCTGTCTAGTGTACTAGAATCCGGGGTTTCATCCCCAGTACCACATAAACCCAGCATGGTGACCAAGGCCTGTCATCTCAGCACTTGGGAGGTAAAGGCAGGAGGATCAGGAATATAAAGCCAGCCTGGGCTACTTGAGATCGTATTCAATAATCAATCAATCAATCAATCAATCAATCAATCAATCAATCAGTGGAAAAGAAATATAGCTCTCCCTGAGCAGAAAAGTAGAAAGTTTTTTTTTTCCCCTTTGGTCTTTTTGCAGCCCCAGCTGGCCTGGAACTCACTATGTAGACCAGGCTTGCCTGAAGATCCACCTGCCTCTGCCTCCTAAATGCTGGGACTAAAGTCATGCACCACCACACCTGGCTCAAAAATAGAAAGTTCTAGCCGGGCGTGGTGGCGCAGCACTCGGGAGGCAGAGGCAGGCGGATCTCTGTGAGTTCGAGGCCAGCCTGGTCTACATAGCGAGTTCCAGGACAGCTGGGGGTACAGGGAGACCCTGTCTCAAAGACCAAAAAAAAAAAAAAAAGTTCTAAATTAGCCACAAACTATGTCATTTATCAGGCACCTGCTTACAAAAATGGACCCCTACTGACCGCTTGACATTAACACCTTGCATGGCTCCCAGCTACACCGACACCATCTACACTACTTGGGATGGCTCTGCTCTAAGCATTGGGGATCACTTAGTTTTCCTGAATGGTCTGGTTTTGTTTTGATTTTTTTCTGGCTGTCTCCAAGCCCAGCACTGTGGCCTCTGCTTGGAGACTCGTCTTCCAAGTCAAATGTCTCAGCCAGGTGTGGTGCACACACCTTTAATCCCAGCATTCCACTAGGAAGACAGAGGCAGGTGGAGTGCTGAGATCAAGGCCAGCCTGTTCTACATAGTGAATCCAGGCCAGCGGGGGCTACAGGGAGGCCCTGTCTTAAAAAACTAAGGCACACATCTCCCTAGGATATTTGTTTTGGTTGATTTTGTTGATTTTTTAAAATTTAACTATTTTTATTTTATATGTATGAGTGTATTGCCTGCATGTATGTGAGTGCACCCATGTGCAATGCCTCAGAGGTCAGAAGAGGGTGTCAGATTCCCCCGGAACTGGAATTAAGGACTGTTTGTAGCTGTGATGTGGGTGCTGGGAATCAAGCCTGGGTCCTCTGCAAAAGCAGTCAGTGCTCTTAATCGCCGAGCCATCTCTCCAGCCCCGATTTTGTTATTTTTGGACAGGGTCAACCTATATAGCCCAGGCTAGCCTTAAACTCTTGACTGTCTGAACTCTCCCTCCCAAGTGCTCAGATTACAGATGTGTACCACGTCCAGTCTAGGTAGTGCAGGTCAAGCACTCAATTGACATGCATTCTCCACTCCTTTTCTTTTCTTACTATGCAGTCCCAGCTGGCCTGGAACTCTCTATGTAGACCAGGCTGACCTCAAACTTACAGGAATCTGCCTGCCTCTGTCTCCTGAGTGCTGGGATTAAAGGCATGTGCCACCAAGCCCAGCTAATTTTTGCTTTTTGAGACTTCTCACTCTGTAGTCCAGATTGGCCTTGAACTCCTGGGAATCCTCTGTCTCATCTCTGGGTATTGGGAAAGAAGGTTTATACCACCACCTCTGGCTGCCTTCATGTATGTATCACATCTTTCTCCTTCAGTGGGCTGTCACAGTCCTGCGCTATGGTGGGAAATGGGATCCCACCTTCTGCATTAATTCCCAGTCAATACATGGACAGTGGTCGGGGTTGGCATGCTTGCCGTACACACCTGCTTCCTTTTCCATAGAGACGCCCTTTTTCCAGGAAGCCCTCCCTGCCCTTTCCTGGGGCTCACCTCCTCAGGTCATCCTGGAATGGCAGGAAAAACCACTAGTCTGGCTTGTCTCTGAGGAACAGGTCCTGTTGCTCCTCTGTAGGGTCCTGGGACACGCAGATTAGGGCCAGCTGCACAGCCCGAAGCACGTAGAACTGGTCTGTGAGCTGCAAGAAGAAGTCTTTGAGGGTGGGTGCAGAGGCCTGGCACCTGGGGCCGAAAAACAGCAGCACTAGCCAGTTCTCCAGCCTGTGGCTCAACTTGGCCTCAGTCTCCAACTTATCCTGCTTGCTGTTGTTTCTGATCAAGACACGGCCAGAGAAGAGGGACACCATGGTCACCCTGCTTGGGGGACTGGGACAGAGAGGTGTGACCCTGGCTGTTGACTGCGTCAACCCACCCTGGAATAGGAACCTCGGAAGTCAGTTTAGGAGCATGCTAATCTGCTTGAGGATGGACCTCTGGGGGCCTGCATTACTGTGAGGGGGCAGGGAGGTCTCCAGGACCTATGCAAGGTGTGAGGAAAACAAAAAGCCTGAGAGCCAGCCTGGTCTACACAGGTAGCAAGTTCCAGGCCAGCTGGGGCTACAGGGAGACGCTGTCTAAAAACAAAAACAAACCCCAAAAACCTCCAGTAATGAGTGACTAATCCTAACACACCTCCAGCAACCCCCTCCCAGCTAGGAATTTGATAAAAACGGAATACAGCAGTCCCCCCTTTGCTAAACCCCACCTCCTAATGCTCTCTATATTTTTAAACCTATGGATTCTCCTGTCTTTCCTTTTATTATCAGAGTTCACCTGAACTTTCCCAAAGTGGGCAGTGTACTTAGGGCAGCATCTGGGCTTTGGATGCATTGCTATATGGCTCAAAATAAAATTTCTTTTTGAGACAGGGTCTCTTGTAGCACAGGCTGTTCTCAGACTCCCTATGTAGCTGAGGATGACCTTGAACTTCTGATCCTCCTGCAGCACTGAAGTCTGAATTCTAATGAGTGCAAAGATAAAATAAAGCCAGGGCATAAAATACTAGAGAAAGATTTCTTACATACAGCAGGAAAGGCAAATTGGGGAGTCACTCAAAGCAGTGCCCTAAGGACTTTATTTTATTAAGCGGGCTTTTACATGTTCATGAGCCCATTTCTGATCATGCTGGGGTTTTTTCTTTGACATTTATTTATTTATGCAGGGTGGGGCTCACACATGCCAAAGTTTGTTTGTGGAGTCAGTGGACAACCTTCAGGAATCCATCCTCTCCTTCTGTGTCCCAGGGATGGGACATCAGGCTTGACAGCAAGCTCCTTTATCTGCTGAGCCATCTTGCCTGCCCTTTTTGATTTCTTTATTTTGAGTCATGCTCAGTTGAAGGTCATAGTTTTAAAAGAAAAGATAGTAGATTTGGGGGTATGCCTAGCTTCAAATCATGGAGCAATGTATATAAAAGATTAAAGTGACAGAAATACCTCTGGGCATGTTCAGTCTGCACCATAAAGTTTCAGCAGACAATAGAAGTCACACTGAAGTTCCTTAACACAGTAATCTACCCCTGAAGGTGCCTTAATTTGTCAACAGCACTGGCAACATTGTGGACCTCCAACACAGCCAGCCTCCTACTCCCAAGAACTAGGATTACATCTCCACCCTTGACTTCTTTCCACCTTTTTTATAGTAAGGCTGTCATGTATGTGGTGGCCTCAAACTCCTATGTAGCCAAGGAGGTACTGGGGATGGAACCTGGGGCTTCCAGCATGGTAGACAAGCATTCTACCAACTGAGCCATATTTCTAGCTCCTCTTGAGACAGGATCTTTCTTTCTTTATTTAAAAATTTTTTATTTATTATTTTTATTTTATGTATGAGTGTATTGCCTGCATGTATGTAAGTGCACCTGTGTCATGCAATGCCATGGAGGTTACAAGAGAGCTTCAGAATTGGAGTTATGGATGATTTTTAGCTGCCATATCTGTGCTGGGAATCGAACCTGGGTCCTCTGCAAGAGCATCCAGTGCTCTTAACCACTGAGTCATCTCTCCAGCTCAGGATCTTTCTTTTTAAAAAAATATTTATTTTTATTTTATGTGTATGAGTGTTTTGCCTGCATGCATGTAAGTGCACTATGGGCATGCAATGCCCACAGAGGCCAGAAGAGGGCATCGGGTCCCCTGGAACTGGAGTTATGGACAATTGTTAGCCACAGTGTGAGGGCTGGTAACCAAACCCTGGTCCTCTGGAAGAACACCAAATTGTTCTTAACTGCTAAACCATCTCTCCAGCCCTGTGATGGTATTTCTTGGTTTGTAGCCTGGGCTGATCTCAAACTCAAATCCTCCTGCCTCAGTCTCCCAAATGTTGAGATTAGAGGCACATCATCAGACTATATTTATTTTTGGGTTTTTTTTTTTTTTTTGATCTTTTTGAAGCAGGGTCTCCCTGTAGGCCCAGCTGTCCTGGAACTATGTAGACCAGGCTGGCCTTGAACTCACAGAGATCCACCTGCCTCTGCCTCCCAAGTGCTGGGACTACAGGCATGCACCGCTATGCCCGGCACATCAGACTATATTTATATAAATATGGAACATTGTGAACTTGAATTTTATCCTTGTGTAGAGGCCATGCCAAATCTTCTCTGTGCTCCTCCAATTTTTGTTTATGTGCTGTTGGAGGGAGCACTATTTATTTATTTTTGCTTTCTGATATTTTGGAGACAGGGTCTCCCTGTAGTCCCAGCTGGCCTGGAACTTGCTATGTAGACCAGGCTGGGCTTGATCTCACAGAAATCCACCTACCTCTGCCTCCTGAGTTCTGAGACTAAAAGCGTGTTAGATACTATGCCTGGCTATTTCAATTTCTTATTTATTGTGTGTGTGTGGGGGGGACGGACAAATTTCAGGAATTTGTTCTCTCCTTCACCATGTTATTTCCAGGGATCAAACTCGGGTTCTCAGGCTTGGCGACAAGCGCCTTTACCCACTGAGCTACTTTGCTGGTCTCCCACTAGCTTTTTAGAGCGCAGGGCTGATGACTGGAAAACAGGTGTGGTCAAGAGCGCGATGTTATTGTGTGTGTGTGGGGGGGACGGACAAATTTCAGGAATTTGTTCTCTCCTTCACCATGTTATTTCCAGGGATCAAACTCGGGTTCTCAGGCTTGGCGACAAGCGCCTTTACCCACTGAGCTACTTTGCTGGTCTCCCACTAGCTTTTTAGAGCGCAGGGCTGATGACTGGAAAACAGGTGTGGTCAAGAGCGCGATGCTTATTATACTCAGGCACCTGTGGACTGGGGAGAAGGAGGGAGAAGAAAGAGGAAGGGGCCAAGAGGAGGCACAGGCTGGTGAGAGGAGGAAGTAGGGCAAAGGGCACAGGAGAAGTTTCAGGAATATGGAAAGGAGGAGGGCCATGAGCCAGGAGGGTGAGCGGGACTGACAGCCCCAAACTGGTGGGCCGGCTGCATCACTTAACTTATTTACCTGTAAGATGCGGTGATCGAAATAGAGGGGCGGGGAGGCTGCTCTAGAGAGGTCCTAGGAACCCTGGGTGGCTCAGTTGTGTGCTGGGTATCCCCAGTCGTCCCCCCATCCCACCCACCCACCCACCCCCAGAGACCAATGGCCGCTGGGGGCGGGGTGGGGCCGCGCCTGCCCCGCCTTGGTCTTTGAGTGGCGCTGGAAGCCAGCCCTGTCTGGCCTGCTCCCAAGGAGAGCTTTGGGAAGGTCGGCCAAGCGGGACAGAAAACAAGCCATCCAGCAGGGTGGGCAGGGAGCGTGGGAGGGTGGATAAGAAGGAGGGACTCGGGGAAGAGGCACGCAGGGGCACTGCACTGGGAGAAGCGCCCAAGACTCTCCAAGGGACACATTCCCTGAAGGGACCCGCTGGCTGGGGCTGAGCTCCAAAGGCTGTCTAGGCCTCCCGGTTCACCTGCTTCTGCCATAGCTTCTGCGAGAGCCACGAGCGATCTGCGAGGGTAGGAGTCTGCAAGCGTGCGCAGGTCAGCCTGACAGCAGGTACCAAGGGCAGGAGGGCAGGGCAGGGCCGGGGGCGCCTCTGGATGGGTACTTAGCATTCTGGGGTGCAAACAAGGGCTCAGGAAGTCTCCTGAGGTGTTACAATAAGGCTGTGATCTTCTGGGGTGCAACAAGGGCTGGGGGTCTTCTGGATGAAACAAGGAGTCTTGGGGTCTCCTGGGGGGGCAACAAGGGCTCGTGGGGTCTCGTGTGTCGGAACACGATGGGCATCTGGATTGTGACTCGGAGCCTCAACTCGCCAGGCTTTGGGGAGCTGGAGTTAGGGGGGTGAGAGTCCCTGATCTCCAAAGACAGACCTCTGAGACCTCTAGGGTATGAATGCAACTCCCCAGAAGCCTGGAATGCGTAAACGTTTGGGAGCGAAAAAGCCGTAGGGCTCGAATTTAGGACCAGCTGGGTCAGGTTTGCAACTCCTGTGGGCGGGGGGGCCAGAGCCGGGATCCTCAAACAGGGAGGGTGGAGCCTAGATACCATCTGGGGCCGGGCGCGCCAAAGCCACGCCCAGGGCCACGCCCCCTTCCGCCACACCCACATGCTTTCCCTGCAACCGGGACCCAGCCGTGCTGTTGTCTTAGAGACTGCACGGAGCCTCCGCCGGCCGCTCTTCCTTCCCCGTCTCTTTGACTGTGGTCTCTCTGGCCTGCACGTCCTCTCTATGGTCACGATCTCCGGAAGAGGGTCGACCTGTGTAGTGCGCAGTGAGGGACTGGGAGCGTTAGGCCTGGAGGAATTGGGCCTGGGGGCGGGGCTTGGCGTTAGGAGGGCCGGAGTCGCTGTCCTCTTCTTGGGCGATGACTGACAAGGCCTGAAGGCAGCGCGGGAGGCCGGTAACCAGGACTTCGAATGCCAGCCAGGTCAGGCACTAGGGGCGGGGCCTACATTAGAGTGGGCGGGCGTTGGTGGGCGGGGCCATAAGCCTCACCTAGGGGAGGAGCCTGACTCAGTTTGGCAGGGCTCCAGCTTGAAGTGCGCGCCGTGGGCGGAGCTAGAGTCCAATTGGGGGCGTGGCCTAGTGAGCAGGGTGCTAGTTAGGGGATAGAGACGGCATCTGGAGGAAAACCTGAGGCAGGACAGGCTTTGCGACAGCACGTGGAGGTGTGCTGCGGGACACAGGACAGGGGTGAGGAGACATAGGGGCGGGGCCTAGACCTATAGCTGTGAAGGGCCGGGGCGTGTGCGTGGGCGCAAAGGCCAGGCTTGGGGAGCCGAAGCGCAGGGCTGGAACTTGGCACTTGTTCTGGCCACATGGTCAAGCCATGGGGGCGGGGCCATTGACTTCTTGTGGGCAAATGCTGGGATGAGGTAAGGTCGGCCTGCCGTTGTTTGACAGCAAGGAGGAACCCACTGTGAGCGGACCTGTACGGGATGTAGCCTATCCTAGGCCTGGGCGGGGCATGGCACCTAGTAAACTAAATTGGTTTGGGTTTGGGCGACTAGGTGAGGAGGAGGCGGAGCCTGGAGCTGAGGCAGTGGGAGCCGGGTCACGGTTTGGGGCGGGGCCTGAGGCGAGGGCCCGCTCCTGGGGTGGGGCCTTGCTCACAGTAAACTGGTAGGGGTTTGCGGGCGCTACGGGCTTGAAAAGGCAGAACCTGACTGAGCGATGCGGGGGCGTGGTCAGGTGGGCGGCGCCTGGCGGGGCGGGGCCCATGCGCGGGGCCTCAGACTGTACTCCGCAGGATGCGGGCTCCAGGAGCGGGCACTGTCTCGGTGGCCTCGCTGGCGCTGCTGTGGCTGCTCGGGCTCCCGTGGACCTGGAGCGCGGCGGCGGCGTTCGGTGTGTACGTGGGCGGCGGCGGCTGGCGCTTCCTGCGCATTGTCTGCAAGACAGCGAGGCGGGACCTCTTGTAAGTAGGCGGGGTCGAAGGTCAGGGGTCAGGGGCCGTGGAGGCGGGGCCATGAGCGAGCAAGGGTGAGCAGGGCCATTTGAGGGTCCCCTTGGGACCCGGGGTTGGTTTTATAGATGAGGGTTGGGCTTGCGGTGGATGTGGGGCTTGACTGCGTAGTGACAAGTTGGGGCACCCCATGAGGCCCTGCAGGCGACAGAACCCCAGTCTGTGGAGGGGAGTGATTGGGACTTGGGGACTGTAGGGAACCAAGGTGACCACCACTCATGTCTGGGCACCTGGTAGACATTGCAGGATCTAGGGATCCCTCTGGAGCTATGGTGACCGAAAGGCCTTTGAGCGTGCAGTGGAGTGACACCCTATCTCTGCGTGCTGCCCAGCCTCTTGGGATGAACTTAGGGTTGGGGTGAAGTGGCTGCTTGGGGAGTCATGGACAAAGGGCTTGTGGAGTCTCTAGATAGCTTTTGCATGACTGCGTGCATTCTGAGAGTTTGAGCTTCTTGTGGAACTTAAGGGTGTGTTCAGGGTCTGTAGGCAGGTCACCATATGTTCCAGGACTAGGTTGATTGTGAAGGCAGGGTGTTCTGGGGGCGTCATGGTATGCAGAAAACATGGGGTGCTCAGGGTTTTGCCCAGAGGAGCTTCTGGGGATATTCCTGGGGCGACCTCAGCACCACTGTGCTTCTCAGTCTCAGGATCAGCCTCCGGTGGGGGCAGGTGGGGTCCTTCACAGGCCTTCTGCAAGGAAACAGACGAGTTCTCTGTAAGGGTAAAGACCCTGAGGTTTGAAGATGGGGACAGGGTGATGTGGCCTGGAGAGGACCCCACAAGTTGATTGGTTCTAACTTTTTCTTCTCCTTGTAGTGGCCTTCCCCAGCCTTCCACCTCCTGGACTTTTTCTTTTTTCTTTTTCTTCCTCAAAGTAGCAAAGAAACTTTATTCAAAGCAAAGCAACAGCACAAGTCAGAAAATACAGTTAAGAGTGACAGCAGATTTGGAGGCAGAGGCAGGGCAATCTCTGTTTCCAGGACAGCCTGGGCTACTCAGTGAGTTCCACATCAGCCAGGGTTACAAAGTGAGACAGGCTTAAAAACAAAACAAAACAAAACAAACAAACCCAGCATGTACATGACTAAGTTTTTTGTTTGTTTGTTTGTTTTGGGGGGGGTCTTTTTGAGACAGGGTCTCTCTGTAGCCCCAGCTGTCCTGGAACTCACTTTGTAGACCAGGCTGGCCTTGAACTCACAGAGATCCGCCTGCCTCTGCCTCCCGAGTGCTGGAATTAAAGACGTGTGCCACCACTCTCGGCTGTTTTTGTTTTTTTTAATTTTATTTATTATTTTTATTTTATGTGTATGCATGTATTGCCTGCTTGTAGATAAGTGCACCTGTGTCATGCAGTGCCCATGGAGGTCAGAAGAGGCTGCCAGATCCCCTGGGACTGGAGTTAGAGACAGTTGTTAGCTGCCATGTGGGTGCTGGGATTCGAACCATGAACAACCAGTGTTCTTAACCGCTGAGCCATCTCTCCAGCCCATAACTAAGTTTTTTATTTATTTATTATTTATTTATTTCTTGAGACAGGGATTCCCTGTAGGCCTCAATCTCAAAGAGCCACATGTCTCTGTCTCCTGAGTGCTGGGATTAAAGGGGTACACCCTTTCTTTCCTTCCTTCCTTCCTTCCTTCCTTCCTTCCTTCCTTCCTTCCTTCTCCCCTACCCCCCCCCACTGAGTGCTGGGCTGACAGTAAAGTGCCACCATGCCATTAATGCCATCTTAAAAATAAGCAAATTGGGGCTAGAGAGATGGTTCAACAGTTAAGAGTACTAGCTGCTCTTGCAAAGGACCTGGGTTTGGTTCCCAGCACGCACATGGCAGCTAACCTATCTATACCTCCAGTTCCAGGGAATCTGGTGCCCTCTTCTGGCCTCTGGACACCAGGCACACATGTGGTACACATATACACATGCAGGAACTCACACTTGTACATAAATTTTTTTTAAATTTTGGTTTTTTTGAGACAGGGTCTCCCTATAGCCCCAGCTGGCCTGGTTCTCACTTTGTAGACCAGGCTAGCCTCAAACTCACAGAGATCTGCCTGCCTCTGCCTCCTGAGTGCCAGAATTAAAGGCATGCACCACCATGTCTGGCAAAATTAAATATTTTTTTAAGAGCAGAGTAAGGCAGAACATGGGTGTGTAATGTGCCCAGTATCACACAGGTAGGGCCATCAGCAGGTACAGGCAGAGTGACTTTTAAGCCTGACTGCAGCAGGCTTTGCCTTTGGAGTTATCTTTTCTTCTTCATTTTAGTTTTTGTTTGTTGTTTGTTTGTGTTGAGGCAAAGTCTCACTCTAGCCCAGATTGGTCTGGAACTCCTGCTCCTTCTGCCCCAGGCCCCCAGTGCTGGAACCCCATGTCCAGCTATGTCAAGCCTCTCTGTGGGTCTGAGCATCTGCCTGAGCTCTGCCTGCTTCTCCTAACGGGCTTGCTTTGCTGTCAGCAATCTGGTCACATGCTTGTTGATTTCTTCCTGCCCTGGAATCCTGTGACCTACAGATGAAAGAGACAGAGGGACAGGAGAGGCCCTGGGAAGGGCCAGGCCGGACAGGGGTCTCTTTGTGCTGGGTGTGGGGGTGGCTTGGTCTACTGCCAACCTCAGCACCCCAGCATGCAGTGGGGACAAAACACCGGATCCCTGTCTGGCTGCGTGGGCGGGCTGGAGGGAGGGGAGCCTGAGGAGGGTCAGACAGGCCCACAGGGCTGCTGGAAGCTTGCCTGCCTTGGGAGCCTCACCAGTCATGGTCTAGTCCCCATTTTCAACTTCCAAACCAGCCTCCTAGCTGAGCTGTTTCTGGTGGTGGCCCTATCTCCGTGGCTGACACCCGGCCCCTTCAAGAGTCCTTAGGGCAGAGCCAGGCCGACAGTAGATTCTCTCATGTGCACATCCTGACAGCCCATGGGCTGGGGGCAGGGGCGGGACCCTGGGATCTGACTGTGGAATTTGGCTGCCCCAGCACCTTAATTTCTGACTTATATCCTTAGGTGGTGTGCTTCCTTTGAGGTGCATGCATTGTGCCATGGGCATCTGTACCAAGGAACCTGTGAGGGAGCTTCAGTGTTGGGTCACTCTGTCCTTATTCCTGTGTGACATCACACATTAAACCTCTGAGCTGACAGCTCATCCACCATCTTGTAAATTAGGATTACAACAGCTGTAAACTGATCACAATGGGTAGTACGTAGTAGGTGTTTAACAGATTTGAGGACAATCATCTTCTCTTGAGCCACTCTTTTTATGTATGGCTGTGGCATTTTTTTTCTTAGTTTCTCTGTTATTAACCGTTCTACCTTGTGGAGTCACTCTCAGTTCATTTCTAGACCTTGGCCATGGTCCCAGGGCTTGCCCCAGGAACTTCTTGTTGGGGGATCCCATAGTCCAGACTGCTTCCACTAACACCCTACAAGACTTAGACCAGTGCCTCAGGCTGCCAGGATCTGACTGCAGTGTGGGTGTGGAATCAATTTTGTTTTGCAACAGCATCTTGCTGTGTAGTACAGACAGGTCTGAAACCCCAAGTCCTGCCTCACCTGAGTGTGGGGTGATAGGTGTGCACTGCCATACCATGCTCAGGATGTTTTTATTCCAGTTGGAGTACATTGCATTTCTCTTTAACTGTGCCTCTTTCAGCACAGTGTTGGCTCCCAGCATGCATGGTAACAGTCTGTGGGCAGCTGTTCCCCTCACATCTTCGCCATGGGGCAAAGCCCATAGTGTTCTCGTACCTCAGGTCAAAGCTGGCAGCTTGTCATTGTGTGTGGAACATTTCAATAGCTCGATAACCAGCCGAAGCACAGAACTGCCCCAAACTCGGCCCTAGCAGACTGGACAGGATGCTTGTGTGTGCCTGTGTGGGAGCCTGCAGGCTGGCGGGAAGAGGCACAGGTGACTCAGGTTTCTCTCTACTTTGGCTCAGTGGGTAAAGGCACTTGCTGCTAAGCCTGACCTGAGTTCAATCCCAGGACTCACATGGTTGGTGGAGACTTCTGCAAGTGGTCCTCTGACCTCCACATGTATGTGGTGGCACAACACACACACACCAATAAATAAATGTAAGAAAATTAAAATTAGGAACTAGAGAGACAGCTCAGTAGTTAAGAGCCCTGGCTGCTCTTTTAGAGGACTCAGGTTTGCTTCCCAATAGTCACATGGTAGCTAACAACTGTCTATAACTCCAGTTCCAGGAGATCTGACGCCCTCTTATGGCCTCTGCCAGCATTGCATGCATGTGGTGCACTTACATACATGCAGGCAAAGCTCTCATACACATAAAATATTAAACATTTTCCTCCTTAATAATTAGTAGTTGTGAAAAACATTACCATTGAAATCTACCTGACGACTTTATATCCATGCTCAGATGCCAAGGAGCTCAGAAAGTAACCAACTGTGACTAGTAATAATCAGATATATAGAAATTAGAAATGCATGTGCAGACAGCTTAATGTCAATTGCATTAAAAATGAATTTTTCTGTATGAAACTGTGCATTTTAATAATGAAATGGAGATCTTTTTTAAAGGTTAAAAAACTTAAACATGTTATTTTATTATTTTTATTTTATGTGTATGAGTGTATTGCCTGCATGTGTGTTAAGAACACCTGTGCATTGCCCGTGGAGTCAGAAGAGGGCATTGGATTCCCCTGAAATGAATTACAGAGGGTTGTTAGTCACCATGTAGGTGCTAGGACTCGAACTTCAGTCCTCTGCAAGAGCAGCAGGTGCTCTTAGTTGCTGAGCCATCTTGCCAGCCCAAAATAAAACCTTTTTATTTGTTTTTTTGGTCTTTCTGAGACAGGGTCTCCCTGTAGCCCTAGCTGGCCTGGAACTCTCTACGTAGACCAGGCTGGCCTTGAACTCACAGAGATCAGCCTCTGCCTCCCAAGTGCTGGAATTAAAGGCATGTGCCACCATGCCTGGCTATTTTGGGTTTTGTTTT